TGCAAAACTGTGTGTCTAGGTTCTAAGATAAACATCTGCGAAAGACTGCAAATTCTGAACTGGGACTTAACAGGTGTTCACAGCACACGATCTGTTAGCACAATGTACTGAGGATGACTCATCTACTACCACACCAGGTTTTAGGGGGTCTTTCTTGTGCTGTTAAAACATGTTAATTTTATTTTTTTCTGGAACATCATCTGCGCTGTTCAACTGTCTATCACCTTCCAGCAAATAACTTTGCATCTAAAACATCTTCCAGCTGCAGCACCGTTAACAGCTGATCATTTGTGACTAGATGAAACGAAAGACGAGGAAAACCACAGACTGCACCCGACACAAGCAGCATCAGGGGCGCGGAGGCAGCTCAGACGGTCCGGGTGGGACAGAAATATGCTTTGGTGTGAAGAGTCGGAAAGAACAGGAGTGACTCAGAGAGGAAGAGGTGGGAATGAGGATGGAGAATTTTAGGGAATCCTACTGAGATCGCTCTCCTCGCCGCTCCGCGTCGCGCCAAAGAATTCAGATGAGCAAACCACATGCTGGAGCCGGTCACATGCTAGCTCTGAGACAATTAACCTGCACAAGCAGAGTCTCACCCGTGTCTTTATTATACTTCCTGTTTATTATTAGTCTTGTCTATTAGTCTCAAGCGTACCTGCTAAGCCAGTTATTCAACTGCACTTTTTTTTATGGATCCAATTTCACTTTGGAAGAACTGGAGGTACATGTTCTCATTTCTGAAAAGTCTTAATCACATCAGAAAAGGCAGCAAGTCAGATGTCATCTCATTTATGGTAGCAAGACCTATGACTAAAWAAATAAATAAATAAGAATGAACAAAGCAATGAGCCTTGTCGTCATTCTGTAATTTATGCCTCAGCGAAACCAGAATACAGTGTAGCAGAGCGATCARCTGTACAGCAGAAGTAGTCAAGGGGCGACTCTCATTCACAAGGTTTTTTTTAGTAGTTTGTGATATTTGTTTCGAATTTAGAACATGTGTAACATCTGGTTCAAATAACAAGCAGCTAAAAACCTCTTTAAATGTAGAGACATAAAACTTGTTTAGAGCAAGAACAACCAGACTGTCCAAAATCAACCAGAGCATAAGTGACAATATGCAACACTTACCAGGTTCTTAAACCTGGTAGAAATTAGGGCCTAGCTTTCCATGAAGGCAAACATATATATCAATTCATCCATCATCTTTTGTGCAGGAGTTTTAGAGTCAAATCATTATGAAATGACAAAATTGTAGCAGTTTTGGTCAAACTTTGAAAACTACAATTTCATACATTAAATCATATGATTTGTAGGTAGACAGAGTATGTTTTAGGAACAACAATCAGCTACTACCACTGTAATTAGCTCTATTTCTATAAAACTGGCTGAGTTGTAGCCACTTTTCAGTTTGATAAGGGGTGCTTTGCTGTGGCTGCCATCTTGAACTGGTTGAACAGTAATCGATGTACACCCAGTGAGAGTTAAAAAAAAATTAAAACCCTCTACTGTTTCATGAAATATTTTGCAAGCAGACACAAACAGACAAATAATAATGTAACCGTTGTTCGGTACACAGTAGGGTTGGGCATAATCGTGTCGTGTGCAATTAATTGCCAGAAAAACATTAATCGATTTTTTTTGGCACTTGACGATTAATACGATTAATGCCAGCAGGCGGGCTGACTGGAGATTTCTCCTATCAGTCTGCTCGATGCTTAGCTCCGCTTCAAATATGACGAACACAAAAATAAATAAATAAATAAAATAAAAGTTCTGCAATGTAATTTTGACAAAATTTGGAACAGATTTTTACAAAAAACAAATCTTTCCCACTAAATTAGTCAGTTGACTGGGACATAAGGGTGTCCAGGGGATTAATCGTCAAATTAATCGTTATTGGCTAAATACCACAATTAATCGTGATTATTTTTTTTACTAATATCGCCCAACCCTAGTACACAGAAGTCAAAAAGACAAAATTAAGCCAAAACATATGAATGCCTTGCATCGTCAAAGGCCCATACTTTGGCTTCAATGCTTTTGAATCGCACAAATATAATAAACTGTGTAAGAAGAAGCAACTTAAAAGTGATCAGTTTCAGCCTATACTGCTGAGTGCTCAGCTCTTTAATAAAACAATTTTCATTATAAATAAACGCAGAAAGCCTGCTGTCCTTGGCCATGTCAATAAATAAATAAATAAATAAATAAATAAATAAATAAATAA